GCCTGGCGAGAGCATCCCACCCAGGTCCCCCTACCTGCAACCCCTTGTCAATGTCCTCGGTTTGTGAAAGAATGTGTTAATGAAAAATTATTCATAATGCTTATCAAAGAACCTTCGGCTGACTCTGTTCATAGGGAAGCATTGCTATAGATGGAGTGTGTGTGTGTGTGTGCACGCGCGTGCATGTGTGCGTGCTTAGCCGCTCAGTCATGTCTGACTCTTTGGGACCCCAGTAGGGAGGACCACAGTGGGGACTCAAGTCCATTGTCAGCATTTTTCCAACAGCATCTGCTCACTTCGTGTCTCTGTGTCACATTTTGCTAATTCTCACACTATTCCAAACTTTTTCATCATTATTACATTCGTCATAGTGATCTGTGGTCAGTGATCTTTGTTGTCACTACTACGATTCACTGAAGGATAAAATGATGGTTAATATTTTTTATCAAGAAAGTATTTTTAAATTAAGGTTCATATGTTGTTTTTAGACATAATGTTATTGTACACTTCATAGACAACAGTAAAATTTTTATTACTTTTTTTTAATTGTTAGTTTTATATGCACTGTGAAACGAAAAATACCATGGGACTTGCTTTATTGTGGTGGTCTGATACCAAGCCCACAGTGTCTCTGAGATATGCCCGTACCTGTTTTCACAAACTGAAAGAAATTTGGAGAGGATTTTTGCTTTTAAGAATAAAGGCAAAAGGCAAAAATGGCATCGATTTATTTTGTGCATCCATTTACAAGCTGTGTCTTTAGGTCTTGCTCCTTTGCTCCATTTCAGCTTATGAAAGTTTTCATGAGAATGCTCTGCCTGCAGATTCTGGGGGAAACCTGCACCTCTCCGCTCTCTCTACCTGGGGCATAGCTGCTGCGCTGTCCACAGCTAGGTGCTCCACGGCACCCGGAGGCCCCGCCCCAAAGAAAACTCTCATTTCAATTACTCACATGCAACTGCACCCTGCCTTTGCTGTATTAAGTGAAGTGCAAGTCGCTTAGGCTTGCTCGACTGGTTGCCACCCCACGGATTGTAGCCCGCCAGGCTCCTCTGTCCGTGGGATTCTCCAGGCCAGAATACTGGAGCGGGTTGCCATTTCCTTCTCCAGGGCATCTTCCCAACCCAGGGATCAAACCCAGGTCTCCTGCATTGCAGGCAGATTCTTTCCCATCTGAGACACCAGGAAAGCCCAAGGATGCTGGAGTGGGCAGCCTATCCCTTCTCCAGCAGGATTGTTTACCAGCTGAGCTACCAGGGAAGTCCTTGCTTTTGCACAGGGGTTTGCTAAAAAGGAATGTGGACCTTTGTCTTTAAATGTCAAAGCAGTGTTTCACTCTTAAAAAACAACCTTTCTTCTGGTTCTTCTGAACATTGCTGATAAGACTAAAGCTGGTAAAACAGGGAAGGAACAAGGAGAAGAGAAACTTTGGCGCCAGGACCTGGAAAAAGGCTCTCTGTGGGTGGAAAATATTCCAGTTGTTTCTCCCAGGCAAAGCTTGAGGCAACGAAATCATGCTGAAAAGCTCATGGAAAATCAGAGCAAAATATTTTTAGCTGGTTGACCTTTTAGTAAGAGTAGTGTCTCCTTTAAAAGGAAAAATTATCAAAAGAATGTTGTGTTCCTAATACTTGGAAGGGAGGTGGGAGGGTGGGGGATAAGCCAGAGGTAAAAGTATCCAAGTTTGTGGTATATGCTTTGGGAGCTTGGGTGCCCACCGGCTCATCTTTCCAGACTGGTTGGTACTGGAGCTCTGTTCCTGCCTCTGGTATAACTGCATCCCTCGCCTGTTGGGATGTATCTGCAGAACCATTTCTCAGAATGTTCCCATACAGCCCCCCTCCTTCCCTCCCTCCCTCCTCCTTCTTCCTTCCTTCCTTCCCCGCTCCTTTCTTCCTTCTCATTTTCCTTACTGCAGCCAGGAAAAGACGGCACCTGGCAGGTGAGGAAGCTTCCGGTTAAGAGCACAGACTTCAGTCCTACTGGCTTGAATCTGGTCTGGACTCTGTCACTTACTCTGTGAGTGACCTTGGACAAGTTGCTTCATTTCTCTGGGCCTCAGTTTCCCCATCTGTGTAATGGGAAGAATAATAGTACCTGTTTCTCAGGGTGGTTGGGATGATTAAGTAAGAAAGCACATGTACCGTGCTTAATAAAAGTGAGTTCTCGGGAGAAAGGGAGGCGCTTATAGTAAGACTGTCTGCCCTGGGGGCCACGAGTGTAGGATAAGCCAGAGGGTGAGGATGCCCCGTCCAGACATCTGATTTCCCTACTTTCTGTTTTCACTCTAGTGCATCCTGACTTTATTCCGTTATACCTGGGTGGATAGTTTTGGCAGAAGAAACTGAGCTAATCCCACTCTATACTCTGCAAAATTTGCTGATACTAGGGTTTCTTTTCCCTCAAGATACTCCACGGCTCCCCAAATAACATCAACTCTGAGTAAAACTACGCACACACAGGGCTCTGTTGTGGACCATTTTGGTCTTGCTCCTCTCTGCCTCCTGTCTCTAGGCGTCTCATCTCCACCTCCTCCCCTTCACCCTAGAATCCCAGGGGGTCGTCTTGTCTAAAGTCTTCATCCCACTGCCAGTCTACTTCCACCCTCTTCCTTGTTTTCCAAAACAGCCTGTCGGGGTGACCTTGCACCACACACATCTCCTGAGACAGCTGAAAGTGACATGGAAGTCAAAGTCACCCAGTCGTGTCCAACTCTGTAACCCCATAGACTATACAGTTCGTGGAATTCTCTACGCCATAATACTGGAGTGGGTAGCTTTTCCCTTCTCCAGGGGATCTTCCCAACCCAGGGATCGAATTCAGATCTCCCGCATTGCAGGCAGATTCTTTACCAGCTGAGCCACAAACAACTGATATTGGCTAATTTTCAGGAGTCAGCCTAAGGCAGAACACAGATGCCATGATGAATGGTCTTCCTCTTACTGTGCTTCTCTGCTCATTGTGATTTCAAAGGCTCATTTCCAGTGGTGAAAGAGGCAGCAGTTCCAAAGAAGTAAGGACTTTCCAAGGCACACCCAGATGTGCCTTCCTGTACGGAGTTGCCTGCTCTTTCTTCCGTAAGGCTGGCTCCCAGTATGACCAGGGTCTCATCTCCCAGGATGCTTATGGCTGGATCGAGGGAACAGGCTGCACGGGTGGATGCTAGACAGGTCGCTGTGGAGGGAGCAGAGCAGCCAGCCAGCCTTGCAGACAGCGACCTCGCCTTCCTGGGTATCCTCCTGGCCTGACCTCACTGCTTGGCACCATTCTTGGAATGGATGCAAAGTCTTCTACTTTTCTTGGAAAATCTTGTTGAGCTCACTCTAGCTTGGACACTCTCAGGCTGCTGGAGAGAAGCGTGCCTCTGGGGCTGGGGAGTGGCTATCTTAATGGATCTGTGGAGCCTCATCCTCTTGCTGATCAACAGTCTCTCCTATTTTCAGTTCAGTTCAGTTCAGTTGCTCAGTCATGTCCAACTCGTTGCGACCCCATGGACTGCAGCGTGCCAGGTCTCCCTGTCCATCACCAGCTCCTAGAGTTTACTCAAACTCATGTCCATTGAGGCAGTGATGCCATCCAACCATCTCATTCTCTCTCGTCCCCTTCTCCTCCCATCTTTAATCCTTCCCAGCATCAGGCTCTTTTCAAATGAGTCAGTTCTTCGCATCAGGTGGCCAAAGTATTGGAGTTTCAGCTTCAACATCAGTCCTTCCAATGAATATTTGGGACTGATTTCCTTTAGGATGGACTGGTTGGATCTCCTTGCAGTCCAAGGGACTCTCAAGAGTCTTCTCCAGCACCACAGTTAGTCAGACAAATTCCAAACCGTTTTCACTCCTGCCACCACCCCCTCTGGGCCTCCTACCTGACCCCCTGGCTCAGGAGTGAGTGTGGCTCATCCGAGGGGGACTTCCACTTCTCTCCCCTGCCAGCTGCCCTCACCTGCCCTTCCCTCCTTCCTGCCTTCCTCTTCCTCTCCGGGACCAATGCTTTGTCCTAGGAACCCCGCCCTGGACCCCAGTAAAGGCAGACACCCAGGTCTGTGTTCTCTCTCCCTCCCTCGCTGTTGGCCCCCAGGACTTGTGAGTTATGTATCTTGGTTTCCCTGAGGTCCCGGATGGTTGTCGCGGAGGTGGGGACAACCAGCGCTCATCATGAGAACCATGAGGACTGGTCCAGTCTCCAGGTAGCTTCAGTGGGGGACTGTCCGTGGGGGCTTCCTGCAGGAGCAGGGCCCCAGGGGAGCGCCCCCAGACATTCCTGACTGATAGCATCTCTACGGACAGGCTGAGACCAACCCCAAACAGCAGCGCTGAGAGGGAGAAACCGTAAACCCTGGAGACAGCAATGGCGCCATGGTGACTTCCTGTGCCTGGGAACCTGGGGAAGAGAAGGGAAGGAGGTGGGAGGGGAGAGGACAGCAGGCCGAGCTCGGGGGCTTCGGTGCTCCACTCGATTTCTGTTGTGATTAGAAGGGTTTAAGGCAGTAGAGCTGCGGCCTCTTCCACAGCTATGCTGCTTGGACTGTGCCTTGCCTTCTAAAACATCATCATGCATCTATGTCAAAGGCTTGGCAAAAGAATGTTGCTTTAGTCGCTAAGTTGTGGCTGATTCTTCGTGACCCTGTGGATCGCAGCCCCCCAGGCTCCTCTGTCCATGGGATTCTCCAGGCAAGAATACTGGAGTGGGTTGTCGTTTCCTTCTCCAGGGGATCTTCCCTTCCCAGGGATCGAACCTATGTTTTCTGCATCTCCTGCACTGGCAGGTGGAATCTTTACCACTGAGCCACCAGGGAAAGCCCTCTGTGGAGGAATACAGCAGCACAAAACCCCACTCTTCCTCAAAGCCCAAAGCAATTTTTATCAGCTTCCAGAAGTTTCCTTTTAAAAATCGTCTGCTAAGCACCTGTATTTCAGGAACTTGGAATGGGTAGTGTAACCATCAATACAAGGGAATTATCGGAAGCCAGGCAGGACTTTCAGATCCCCACCAGCCGCTACCTCCAAGATCGCTGGGGGCCAGGACCTTCCAGAGTCTCCCTTGGAGCCTTCCACTCAAGAATCCACTCCTGTTCTTGGCTTGGCTGCCCACGGGCGGGTACAGGAGGCCTGGGAAAGGAAGAAATCCTGATTGCGGCATCACGAGCCTCGTTTCCGCTAACACTCGAGTGTGGCCACTCCCGGGCACCGGTTGTTCTCATACAAAGGAAAAAATAGGTGTGTTGTGAGCTCCCTGTGTGCCTGCTCGGTTACCTGATGTTGGGACGGTTTGTTTTCTGGAATGTCTAGCGCTGTCCGTGTTCCTTTCCGGGGCGAGTGCTTTGTAAAGACATAAACAGTCCAGCAGGCTGCGAGGAATCAATGCGTAGCTGACTCTTTTTCCTTTGGAACTACATCCCTGCAGAGATAAATACACAGAAAGACAGACGGATTATAACAGGGGAAGGGACGCTGTGTCAGCATGACAGCTCCAGAGAGAACAAAAGGGCTACCTTGTGCAGGGGCTGAAAATAGAACGCAAAGCTATTGGGTCTGGGGCAAACAGCAGAGGCCTCCTGGGGCATCATTTGCAAAGAGATCCTGAGCCTCCCTGGAAAACAAACTGGGCGGAGTGAAAGTGAAGCTTAAGAATCCCTGTGAGTCATGCCCTCAGCTAGAGGGGTGAGAAGCCACCGCTTTGGAGGTTTTGCTCTGAGCAAGGCATCCTGGCCTCAGGCAAAGGGCTTATTGGGACGCTGCCCTGGTTGAGCGCAGTGTGTCTGGGCCAGTGGGAGGGTGGGGTAGACCTTTGACCCGAGCCCTGCTCACAGTTCAAACAGAAAGATGGCAGAGCTGCTTGCTGCAGCATGTCTGTTTCTGAAACAAGATTGTTGTTGTGGTTTATTCGCTAAGTTGTGTCCAGCTCTTTTGCAACCCCACGGGCTATAGCCCACCAGGCTCCTCTGTCCATGGGATCTCCCAGCAAGGATACTGGAGTGGGTTGCCATTTCCTTCTCCAGGGGATCTTCCCCACCCTAGGAATGGAACCCGCTTCTCCTGCATTAGGAGGCAGATTCTTTACCACTGAGCTGTGAGGGAAGGCCATCTAAAACAGGATATGGCATGTTAATTTTACATTTATGACTTTTTAAAAAGCATATGCTCTCCCCACCCCCTTCAGCTATTTGGCAAACTTGCTATAACCCCGTGAACCAAGGCAGGCTGTCCCCAGCTCTTATCTTGGGCAGCATCTCCATTCCTGTGCAGAGCGAGCAGTATCTCTGAGAAGAAGAAAGGGCAGAGCTCAGTTTAGACAGCATTTCAATGGGCAGTTAACCCTGGAGTTAACGACTCTGCACCCGTGGTCAGCTTCCTCCCCCAGCGAGCACGTCCACCAACCCTCCTTCAGTTCCAGGACATCTTGTTTACTGGCTGGTTTAAGACCCAGTTGGCAGTTTGCCGTCAAGACAGAGGCAGCCTCTGAACTGCACTGAGAGCCATCCGCTGTGAGTGCAGCCAGCTGGGGCAAAAAAAAAAATGAGGGAAAGGAAGTGGCCTTTTAAGAAACCCCGGTCTTCTGGTTAAAGTAAGATTTACGGTCTTACTTTAGGTAAGTACGTCTGCAGGAGGGTCTCCGTGCTGCTGCTAACATTTAAACACAAAAGTCCCCCTAAGTCGGAGTCCCAAGCTCAGAGCCTCAGGAGCCGGGGTTGAATGACAAGATCAAAACGGTTTAAGTTGTAAACATTGGTTGTCTACCTGAGTCCACTTAATGATGGCTTTCAAGGTGGAAAGTGCCCCTAACAGGAAGTGGGACTGCCTCATTCTGCGTTTACCTTGAAAACCATGAGTGACCTTTCTTAAATTCGAAGTGAAAGATGCGCAGTTGTGTCCGACTCTTTGCGACCCCATGGACCATACAGTCCACGGGATTCTCCAGGCCACTGTATTGCAATGGGTAGCCGATCCCTTCTCCAGGGTATCTTCCCAACCCAGGGATCAAACCCTGGTCTCCCGCATTGCAGGCAGATTCTTTACCAACTGAACTATCAGGGATTCCAAGCTATCTCTGCCTATAAATAACTTTGTACTGACTTTTGTTGTTGGGATGGTGATCTATGATTTAATTAGGAATGATCCCCATTCTTTACGAGATTGCTGTCTTAAAGACATGAAATATATAGTATGCTCTGCTCTTCCCAGAAATGCCAAAAGAGTCCCTTACACTCCTCTTTATGACGCTAAATGAATGCCCATCTTCAACATCACAAAGGCACCTCTTATCTAGAGAACCCTAAGGTGGTTTAAGGACCTCATTGTGTGTGTTCAGTCACTCGAGTCGTGTCCAACTCTTTGTGACCCCGTGGACTGCAGCCCTCTAGGCTCCTCTGTCCATGGGATTTCCCAGGCAAGAATACTGGAGTGGGTTGCCAACTCCTTCTCCAGGGGAATCTTCCCGACCCAGGTGATCACACCTGCATCTCTTATGTCTCCTCATTGGCAGGCAGGTTCTATACCGTTAGCGCCCCCAGAGGGTGAACCTAGGGAATGCAGAGACTAAATAATGCAATTGCATCAGTTACGGGCTGGGCAGGTGGACGAGTGGCATGGATGGAATTAAGGTCTCAGCCCCAAAGACACCCTGTTTTACTCCTCATGGACCCAGTCTTGTGACCGAACTCTAGCACTCAGTCCATCTTCTTGAAGACCTCCATCCCCATATCACAGTCTACAGAAGGAGCTGAAAAATGCATCGTGTTGATTTCAGGAATAATCTGAATGCTGACAGGAAAAGGCTTGCTGAAAGCTCTGCAGGATTGATGTGCGTCTGGTAGAAACCAGAGCAAGTGAGCAGAGCAAAGCCAGCCACCCTGGCTCTTTCCCCAGAGTGCTCAGCCTCACCCGCTTCCGTCTCTCTTGGATCCACGTCTGGAGTCCTTCTCACACCAGTCGTGTTACCAGCATCATCAGGAGGTTTGATGTGGTGTGAATTCCTGCCACCGGGATAGACTGAGAAATTCACAAAATCTCAGAAAAAGAGAGCAAGGGAGGCTAAGCCACAAACAGATACTCTGGGAACTGGCCCCTCCAGATGACTGGCTTCAAAGCTACCTCAGAGTGGGGGACCCACAGGCTTTCTGGGGGCTCATTTCTGTGTTTTGTTCCAGAGGGGCATCTCAGCTTCTTCCCTTGGGCCTATTAAAATCTATCCTGTTTGTTCCACACCCACCCCAACACCTCTTTTGTCGAATCTTAATTGTGTGCTGGTGAGTTGGTCATCCATCCTTCAGAAAGTACCTCCCACCCCAACACCTACCGAGCCTTCCATTTAGATTCACAGTGACCAGAAGTGTTGGCTGGTTCTCTGTGAACACCTCATGCTTTTGAATCAGGGAAGATGAGGCAGATGAGGTGGATGTAGTCATTCATTCATTCAAAAATTAATTTGAGGGTCTCGGTTATGCCGATTGCTGTTCTGTGATTGGGATACATAAAGGAACAACAACAAAAATTGTTGTCTTGAAAAATTTCATTATAAGGGTGGGAGGGGAGTGCAGAAGACAGATGGTAAATAATAAACAATAAATCACATGGTGCATTAGAAGTTATAAATACTGTAGAAAAAATAGAGCAGGTGAAGGGACATCTGGTGTGCAGGTGGAGCGAGGAAGGGACAATGCTAACAAAATTTCCAAGTGAACTTTACTGAATAAGGAAAATGACAAACGATTGTTTCTATTTCTTCCTGTGAAGAATAAATACTTGCCAATAAACAAATATTGGGATAATGATGTATCATTGTCTGAAGCATCACAGTTTATTTTCTACAAATATTTTTATTTATCTATAAGATAATACATGGGGAAAATGTGGAAACAGTGTTGGATTTCATTTTCTTGGGCTCCAAAATCAATGTGAATGGTGACTGCAGCCATGAAAGTAAAAGACACTTGCTCCTTGGAAGAATAGCTATAACCAACCTAGATAGCAAATTAAAAAGCAGAGACATCACATTGTTGACAAAGGTTCATCTAGACAAAGCTATGGTTTTTCCAGTAATCATGTATGGATGTGAGAATTGGACCATAAAAAAGGCTGAGAGCCAAAGAACTGATGCTTTTGAACTGTGATGTTGGAGAAGACTCTTCAGAGTCCCTTGGACTGCAAGGAGATCCAACCAGTCCATCCTAAAGGAGATCAGTCCTGAATATTCAAGGAAGGAGTGTTGCTGAAGTTGAAGCTCCAATACCTTGGCCACCTGATGCAAAGAGTTGACTCATTAGAAAAGACCCTGATGCTGAGAAAGATTGAAGGCGGGAGCAGAAGGGGATGACAGAAGATGATGGATGGCATCACTGACTCAATGGACATGAGTTTGAGCAAACTCTGGGAGATGGTGATGGACAGGGAGGCCTGGCATGCTGCAGTCCATGGGGTCGCAAAGAATCAGACATGACTTAGCGACTGAACAACTGCAATAAAATAATATTCAGGATATTATTTTATGATTATATACATCTGTGTATGTGTACATATGTAATCAAATGCATGTTATAATTTAATTGAAAAAATATATATCAGAGGAGTTTTGCTAACTCTTTCAAGTCAGGTGGATATACAGGAAATTTCTAGTTCCCCAAATGGTCTTGGTTTCCTCAGGTAGAACTTTCTAAACTGACCCATTTGCACCTCGTGGTGACATGAACCACAGAAGCGTCTCCCTGCCTTTGACCCCCGTCCAGCTGATGGGGCTTAAAGAGGCTTCGAGCGGGCCTTCAGCCCAAGAGGGCTCGTGGGAGCAGGAGTGGTTCTGGGCTCCTGGGCTGGAGTGGGGAGCGAGACTCACACGCTCCAAGAGGAGGGACGGCACCAGCGAGCTCGGCCAATGCCCTGCCGGTTTCTCTCCCACTTCATTCCTGCCCAGAAGCCCAAGGCAGGACCCCGGTTGCTGGTCTATCTGAAAGCACTCCGTGCACAAATAAGCAAACAGAGGAAAAGGAATGTGCAGCCATTGTTTGAGGATTTTCTGGAATTCGGAGCTTTGTGATTTTCGCTGTTTAGAAAAGACTTTGGTTGGCTGTTTATCATCCAGTGCAGGCTCATGAATAACTTCCTGGGGGACTGGCCCACATTCTTGGTCCCCTCGGCGTCTCTTGCCCGGCAAGGCTCACTCAGGGCGTCTTCCCTACATCCTGTCTGAGAGTGACCTTCTTTTCTCCGTTGACTAAGCTCCGAGTCCTTATTGAAATGACCCCCTGCAGGGGAAGGCCCGGCGGTGGCGCCTGGCAAGAGAAAACAGCCCTGGTTTCTAGGAAGTTAGATACACACTCCCTGCAAGTCTCGTTCAGAAAAGGCGAAATGTTTATGTTCTTCCTCAGGCCTGAGACGGAAAAACCAGCAGACTTGCCGGGAACGTGCAGAGCAGAGTGAAGGCAGGCCCAGGGAACACAGCTGGAAGCCCGCGAACACAGCAGGCTGCGTGTCCAGGGGCGCAGCGGCCTCAGTGACCACGCCGTGCGGACGTGGGCGCTGATTCGCAGCCGAAGGCGTGTTCGTCCGCCTCTACACGGGTGCCGTGTGCTAAGTC